TTAGGCGAACAAGGCATGTGCCGGCCAACACGTGTCTGTCAAACTGCGATGACTGCGGGAAAGACACCAGTGGACTGGAGAACGGGAGTTATTGTGCCCGTATTTAAGAAGGGAGACCACAGGGAATGCTCCAATCATAGGGACATTACGCTACTGAGCCTCCGAGGTAAAGTGTACGCAAAGGTGCTAGAAAGAAGGTGCCGCGAAATATTTGACCTCAAGATCCAAGAAGGGGAGTGTGGCTTTCGGCCCGGTCGAAGCACCTCTGACATTATATTCGCCGTGCACCAGATTGTTGAGAAATCGCGGGAGTACGCCCAGCCGGTGTACATGTGTTTTGTGGATCTAGAGAAAGCGTATGACCGGATGCCACACAACAGTCTGTGGATATGCCTTCGTGGATGGGGGATTAATGGCCAGCTGCTAAGGGCCATTCAATCAGTGTATTCTGATAGTAGGTGCTGTGTCAGAGTTAATGGCGTTAAGTCGAAACCATTCAACGTTCGCTCTGGTCTCCGACAAGGCTGCGTCCTGTCCCCTATCCTGTTTGTGATGCACATGGATAGAATAGTGAGGAGCTGCCAAGGTGATGAAGGTATCGGTGTAGGAGATGTGAAGTCGAGAAGATTGCTGTTTGCAGACGACCTTGTTTTATTAGCATCTTCTGAAAGTGATCGTCAGTGCTCTCTAGAACGGTTCGCTGCGGAGTGCGACGTGACCGGCATGGGTGTGAACGCATCTAAAACGAAAAATCTAGTGGTTTCTCGTTCTCCTGCGCGTTGCTCTCTTCAAATTAACGGAGAAGCAGTGGAGCAGGTGGAGACATTCAAGTACATCGGAACTGCATTAACTAGTGATGGAAAATTTGAGGAACAATTGGAGTAGGCAGTGGCGTTCTGCATGAACTAGCTCGACCCACTGTGACTAAACAGAGCTCAATCTGAAAACTAAGCTCTCGGTTTTCAAGACGATCTTTATCCCCATGCTTATCTACTGTCATGAATCATGGACCATCACTGAACAACTTCGAACCCGGGTACAAGCTGCTGAAGTGGGCTTTCATAGACTAGTCGCTGGCCTTACGCA